GAATGTTAGCATGTGATTCCAAGTTCTACAAAATTTGCATTTTCCTCCAAAAGTAGGAAAAGAAATGTAAAACCCCTGTTGAAAAAGATCAAAAAAATACATGTTCCCAACTTTTCTCCGGAAATATATTTGATGTGTAGTTTTTTCATTTACGGGCTCAAATAAATCTCAATTTGAAAAAGCGACAAGCAAACAGCTTATGAAGAAATGGCTGAGTTTAGACTACTGACATTGAACTGAACGCTGTATCACCATAAACGCATTTAGATTAGCAGTTTAATGCCGTGATTAGCTCCAAAACCGACTCAGCGCTGAGCTACAGTAATCCAAAGAAATAATCAGACTTCGTGAAGGTACGGATGTAGAAAATCCGCCTTCCGGTAAAATTTCCCAGCCTGCACCCGAGTCATCTGTTACTAACCTGTCTGTCTGTCGCCATACCAAACTTCAAATTTAATAGGTTTAAAGAAACAAATTCTACAAATATTTAAAAAAAAAAACAAAGACCTCTTGTTTCAAAGTTTAGTTTGAAGCAGTCTTCCCAATATTTCTAAAAACTGTCGAAAAAAATTCAAAATTTGAAATGTTAATCAACAATTAACACATTTTTCTGATGGCTCCAGAAGTAACAAGTCAAAAAATTTATAAGGTTATACGCAAACAAGATACGCGTTGATTTACAGAAAAAATAACAAACAATTTAGTTCAGAAGAACCATTTTACCTTATTCCAATTAAGTTCATAATCTGTGTCCACAGTCATCGGAAATCCAGCTAATCAGATGTTCATAGGAACCAAATCACGCGAAAATAATGACAGATTTCCAATAACTGCAATCTATAACAGATTATAACAGGTAAAGTGATGAAAGATTTTTGTCGAACAAACAACACTTAATTGGGAAACGGATGAGCAAACATCAGAGAAAGGTCACAGAACCAGACAGTGATAAAAAGTGACGCCACAGTAAACAGGTAAAGCTTATTAAATTTAAAAAAAAAACAAGACATCCAACCGATTGTTTATAATGAGCTATAAAAAAGCTTTCATCAAAAAATTACCTAAAAACTGTCCCAAAATAAATGCTGGTTTGCTCAGGCGAGTTCTATAATTTTTTGCTGGTAAAACGGCCCAGAAAAAACGTTTAAGATAGTTTATTGCTTGTGAGACAAGTGAGTAGGCACTTTCTGATGTTACCTTCATGTTGTCTTATATATTCTCCACATTTTGAAAAATTTTTAACAGTCCCTTTTTCCTCTTCAACAACCGTATATCGCTCAGAAATTGAAATGAAAAAAGCTAAAAACGTTTCAAATGCAATCCTATATAATAGGACAGTTCCATAGAAAAAAAGAAAAAATCCTTTGAAAGTAATATCTAAAGACATGCAAATCATGTTCACTACTCGTAAACCAAAGAATCAGCGACAACCGAGGAAAGAAGTGAACACAAACTAAACAAAAAGCAGACAAAAAAACCCTCCTAAGGAACGACAAGATTGAAAATCCCGATCTACAGACCACTTTTCCTCCCAATAATAGCTCGTTTTTGCGCTCAAAATACTACTTTCACAAAGCTTTTAAACCAGCGCTCACTGTAAATAACGAAATCAACATCTGCAAAAGGCATAGAAATCAACGTACCACCGAAGGAGAAAAACAAAAAAGGTCGCTTATCAAAGACCCTCATCAGGTTGACCCCCGCAAAAAATCACTATTATTATTATTATTTTTTTGGATTAAATAGAAAAAATCAATTTTGCTCCCTCTTTCAAACAAATGCAAATTAAGCACAGAATAACGAGGACAAAAGAGCAAAAATTAAAAACAAAAAACTTTGCCCTGACATAATAAATTTATAGTTTCAAAACTGCAAAAGAAAATTGAATACTCTCAGCAATATAAATGAAAAACAGCCATGACAGAGCGCAAAAATATATTTCTACAAAATAATCCGGCACTAAGGTTGGGAATGAAGTCAATGATCAATGCATCCATAGATGTAAATGTTGACAGGAAAAAAATTGTCCTAGCACTACAATATGACACAAAATTCCATTAAAATCACGAAAAAGTGAAAGTGTCTTGCAAAATGCAGTAGAAAACTATGAGAAATTGAAGTGAGTTACCACAAACTTGGAAGATTTATAAGGTATTTGAGATTCGAGATGCCACATCATATAAAAACAGGGCAAGCAAAACCCAATACAAAGAAATTTCTGAACTATTCCTTAAAATCTCTCACTCTCATTGAACATGATATGCGGAAAACTTTTAGGTTTAAAAATCTCCATACAGTGGAAGATACACAAATAACACTTCTTGACAACTAGTGAACCTGGAAAAACCTGGACAATTTTTACGGTCAAATTAAAACTGATCATTGACCAGATATCAACGAACTAATCTAGCAAATCAGAATGTCAATGTTTGCGATAACAATACCTATAACGCAAAAACATCCGTTTAGTGTAGAGATTTTTTATTTATCAGTTCATTAGTATCCATATAATATCAGTTCTAAAAACTTATCTGCAATTTTTACTGCACATTCCTCCTTCCTTGAAAACCAATCTTGATGTCTCTTCAGTCGCTAAATTAAACAGATTAAGTAGGCAATAAACGATCAAAGTGGAATAAGCTAAATGTTATGCGAAACCAACTGCATTCCCACCAAAAAGCAACCTTTTTCATTTTTAGATATTCCAACTCGTCATGTAAAGAACAAAATTTAAACCTTATCTACTAAGTAATAACAACATGCCAAAATCAAAGCTTAGATGTACAACAACTTCCTGAACAAACCAGAAAAAATGCAAGAACTTGGGAACAAACAGGCGATTAACTAAAAAAAAAAAAAAA